AGGCCCAAAGCGAACAATACATGCCACAAGATTGGGTCGTGACAAAACTACAGTAATCGTTAACTAAAATATTTTAGAACACTAACAATAAAAAAATTAAATTCTATATCTAAAAATGAAACACGTGATTACAACATGGAACTATGAGATCTACTAAAGAAAATGGTTTCGCCATGGGGCTAAAAAAAAATAGATATGGTAGGTGGTAGCACATGTTAAGATTTAGATGTCCCCAAATTCAAGAAAATAAGGTTAATTTCAATGTTCTGTCAAGAAGTTGAGCCCCTCACATTTCTTGAAGAAAATATTTAGAAAATAAGACTAAAAAATTATAGGACAAAATGAGGAAATCAGTATGGTTAGATTGATATGTTGATTTTATATAGTTGTAGAATAAATAATTTTCAAAAAATCTTGGAGATGTGATGTTCCAATCTTTAGTGGGGTACCATTTTTCTAAGTGAAACTTCCTACCAAATAGGTTGATATCTGCTCATTTACAATTGTGTGTAGCTTCATCGCAATTGAGAAATTTCCGAAATGATGCTTCAGTGCCTTACTGGTTACACTTTCTTTGAATGCACAGAGTTTGGTGTAGGCAAATTTTTTTTTATTGAATTTAAATTCATAAGAAATTTGAATTTAATCTCAAATTAAATATATTTTGAATTCAAATAAATATTATGGGCTAATATAATTGGATTATATATAAACCCAATATATATGGATTGAATAAATAAGTCATAATCCATTGGGCTAGCCCATTTGATTGGGCTAAAGTGATGAGCCCACTTCATTAAGCCCAAGATGTCATCTTCCTAGAGGCCCAGTTTGGTGTCACGTGTCAAATGACGTGGCACACCAAGTCAAGCGGAAGAGCCAATAGGATCATGCCACGTGTCAAAATGACAAGGCATGCCAAGTCACATTAAAAAGCTAATGAAATCGCGCCACGTGTGCAAGTGACATGTTCTGACCAATCAAATGCGACCCTGTCACACTTCAATTTGATTGGTCCGAAAGAGTTTGTTCTTATCATAACTTCTCCTTCCACAACTATAAATAGGGTCTTCATAACCCAGAAAAGACACCAGAAGTTATAACAAGAAGCAAGAAAGAGCTCGTGGATCAAACACTGCAAATTCTTCCACAAGTTTCAAGCTTCAAGCAACCAAGTCCAAGTTCAAGCAATAAAGCTCAAGAACGAAGAACGAATCAAGATCAAGCTCAAGAACGAAGAACGAATCAAGCTCAAGCTCAAAGGCCATTGAATTTATTTACTATTGGAAAGAAGAATCAGAGGATTCATAGAGATTGTAACACTCAAATATTCGAAATAAAATACTACGATTGTTGTAATATTTTTCGGCCTAATTTTATTTTCTCGACACAAATTTATTGTCTACATTTGGATCTTCTAAACCTTTACTCCCTCCGTTTCAATTTAGATGACACACTTTCTTTATTAGTCCGTTTAAAAAAATGACACATTTCGATAATTGAAAATAACTCAACTTTAAACTTTTTATTTTACCCATTTTAGCCTTAATGGGAAGTTTTTATAACCACACAAATGTCATGGCCCTGCAAAGCTTTTACCCCTTAAGCTTTTAAGACCACAAGTTTCAAAAATCTCTCTCTTTTCTCTTAAACTATGTGCCGTGTCAAACTATCTCATCTAAATTGAAACGGAGGGAGTATCTATTAAAATTCTAAAATATTCAAAATGAAAGTAAAAAATAAAGATGTAGACGCAGCCATTAATACTTGCATTATGATAGACGGTCTACATTGCACCCCTTGGAGCGCGACCCTGCGTGAATATGGAATATTTTGTGCACCGAGTTGCCCTTTTTTAAAATAAAATATAAATATAAATATAAATTGCACACTGCACGAATCCCTTGATCACTGGTATAAGGTTTTTTTTTTTTTTCCTTGTATCGTTCCAATTTTATCGAAAGTCCTGAAGTAACTGTCAACAAGAGGTTTGGTTTAACAAGAAAAACTTCTCTTTTTGTCTCTTTTCAGAAGAAGATTTCAAAAACTATACTTAAGGGGTCCTGCAATTATATTCCTTTTCTTTGGTCACAAGGCAGCTAGATATCAAAACCCCATTTTAGATCAACGAGAGGGCAGCCCAAAGTTGAAAACTTAACCAATTTTGAGCCTTACTATTCAGGTATAATAATGGGGGGAAGTGGATTTTCTTGCTGCAACAATAAATTAGAACAGTAAATGCTAGCAAAAATTGGTTGTCCCTTTTAGATTTCTTGTTAGGTATTTTGCAGTTCACTGTCTTCTTAGCTTTCCAGTGAGTTAGAAACAGTGAATTTGTTAGTTATACTTCTACTTATTCCTTCCTTGCTAGACTGCTATTTTTAGCTGAAATTGGGCAGTCTCATTTATTCCAATGACACATCATTGAATTCTCATTCTCACTTTGACTTCTCCGCACATAGGGCTCTGTCATGTGTGTTCATTATGTCCCTTGCTTAGCTTGTGCCAGCTGCCTAACGGCAAAAACTTATTCGTACGGACCAGCCCAATAAATACATGACAGCCGATAGTTAATTCAAATTATTATCACCTTAATTCGTCATTTGTTCATGGTAAATTAGTAAAATTTGATGTAAACACTAGATATGAGTACGTTTTTACCCTATCTGATAGTAACTCAGATTTTGGCATTTAGGGTTGAGCGACTTAATATCATGCTGTAAGTGGTTTCAGCGGCGGATCCACGTTTAGTGGTGTGTGTCTTTGGGGTAGGGTCCGTGTATTTTATAATAAATTAATGAAAAAATAAAATATAAGAGAGATGAGCACCCACGAAATAAAAGCTCAACTAGGTGCTTTGGTTTAGAGATTCAATTGTAGGCCCATGCATCAAGATTGAAGTTTTTACCGGAAATCTCTGTTAAAAAAAAAAAAATTGCTTGTTTGGGGGATCGAAATTGGTGTGAGGCGTAAGTGCCTTTTTTTTGGGTATGTTTTGCGATGGGAAAGACCTTTCCTTGTTTGATTGTTTCCATTCTTTTCTATTTTCCGCTTGCCCTTATTTGAGCTATTTTTACATATTTTGTTACCTTTTTGCTTTCTTTTTTCCCCTTCAAATTCGCTTTTCTTTCTTTCTTTCTACTACATCACTTAAAAATATTTCTAAGTATGGAGATTGATGAAGTACTTTTATTGTCCAAAATAGTACTCCATTTAGTTTTTGTTGTAATGTTTGCAATAATATATTTTTGAGCAAAGACCACTTTTAGCCGGTGACCAAACTATTTACCCCATAGCGCAAAAGTGTATATAATATATATACACACACATTGTTATTTTCCTTATATTTTTGTATTGAATTGTCTCATTTTAAGTTTCAAATAGTGATACACTTATACTATGCGATCAACTTAACTTAAGGACAATAAAGTACCCATTGCTTTAAAATTCTAGATCTGCCACTGCGTGGTTATTGTATTGTTACTTTCTTTTTCGTTAGACACTTGGTATTAGAAGTTTTAGATCAAGCCAATCTGGATTCACACGGAATAAATCCACTAAAAGACGTAAAGCACTACCAATAGATTCTTTATTCACAAGCCCTATGAGAATGATGCATGATGATAGGCTATAATTACGTATTTTAGTCGATTATTACACTCTAATTTACTGCACTTTAATTGAGTTTGCGCTTTAATCGCTAGTGTTTTGCACTAAATATGTGTTTTATGTCTTGTAGGAGTGATTCCGAGCTATGTAGATATTATGGAATGAATTCAAGTGATTTGGAGCTTTGAAACCTGAGTAAAAGCCTAAGGAATTAAGCCGGGATCGTGTTCGGAGGTCGTGTACCAAGTCCGGATGTTAAAAAAGGACGAAATAAGTTCACTCTGAGAAAATTATTGCGGCGCGGCGTAGCAGTGTAAAATGCTGCCTGATGCTTGCTGATAATTTCCACTAGCGCGCCGCATGGCGCGCCGCATGGTGCGGCGCGACTGTACAAAATTTACAGAGCCAGAGTCCTATTTCGCGCAAGAGAAGGTGTTTTCGTCTGGGCCCGACCCTACTTGGTATAAATACATGTAAAACGGTATTTTGAGGGAAGAGGACGTTTTTTAGAGGAAAACACAAGCACAGAGCCGCCGTGGAGGCCGGGTTTCATCTTTTCTTCCACCAACTTAGTCTTTTTATGTTTCTTTGTATGATTTGTTGTTTTGCTACCATGTCTATGTGGAGCTAAACTTCACGTTCTAGGGTTGTGGTTCTTTCATGACTATTGTTATTCGGATATTGATTTTGATTTCTTAGTTTATCATATTGGTTTATTTATTCAATCATGCACTTAATTATTTGATTGCTTGATCACCAATTGAATACTATCTACGAATCTAGAGTTGAACTCAAAAGTGGGAATTCTAGATTGCATATAGGATCGAGTAGAGCAAGTTCTTAAACCTGGGCATCGGGGAACGAATTCGCAATTAGGATAGACATATACCTAATTGCCTTGCTTGGTTGAAATACAGGAATTATAAATGCGTTCTTGTTGATTCTAACTCCACAGACATATAGGCGTTAGGTTAGCTTGAATAAGCGAGTAAGAACTCGACAGATTCTTATGAGCAATATTAACCCTGTTAACCAATAAACTAGATAAATTAGTTAGTCAATTCAATTGAAGAATACAATAGGAATGTTAGATAGCCCATAACCCTATATCGTTTTCATTACATTGATATCATAAAAATCTGCTCTTCCTCTGTTTAGAGTTCATAATTTATATTCTTTATTTAATTAGTTTAGAATCAATTACTTCTAAATTTAATTCTTGTTTAGATAATCAGGATAGTCTAATTTAGTTAATGGTTAATCACAAGTTCTTGTGGGATCGACATCCGACTTTTAGTCACTTTATTACTTGACGACCGCGTATACTTGCGTGTGCGTTTGGCCGCAACAATGCATAAAAATGAAAGAAGTCCAGAATACAAGGAGAGAGAGAAGGGGGAAAAAATCGGGACAAAATGACTAATCTGATTGCAAATTTGGAGCCTCAGTTTAGGTTAAAGGAATACACGAACACGAAAATCCTCTTCTTAATCATCCACAAATCCAGGTTCTGAAATTACATTCTTCAACTCTTGAGCTTTTTCATCATTGAAGCCCAAACCAGACAATATCTTATAACCTGGTGATCCTACTTGTGACCACACACCAAGGAGCAAATGAGTAGTTGTAATCTCCCCATTGTCACCTGCATTTTCATAAATAATCAAATAACCAAGAACATTTTCACTTTCATCTGCCCATCGCTACATTTGGCTATATGAGTAGCATAATTTATCTCTTGTTATTTCCACTACATTCTAAAATTTTCATTTAATACGACGAAAAGAGAGTAAAATTCAAAGAAATGCTTTACGACAAGAGAAACAAGTTTTGGACAGATTCAGCTGTTATATGATCCATAACCACTATAGATTGATTAAACTGCCAAGGTAACCACATAGAATATACCCTTCTTTTCTTTCTTTTTTTGGGATAAGTATGTAGAAACAGAAAATGTCATAAATTCTGATAGTCTTTTTTTCGCAACTCGGGTTATGTTGTAACTACGGACTTGAAAAGAATATGTTCTGATGGAGGTTATGAATTTCCAAGTTCAAATTGCACTTTCTGCACTTTTGAATATTTAATTTTTATTTTCTACCTTATTTTTCATGCTGTTTCTATGCTCATCTAGTCAGTTTTTAATTTCACCTGAGTAAAATAAACAGCTAAAACCATGATAGACTCCTTCAACGTTGCTTGTAGACTTAAAGTTCTCCCCTGATTCATGTAAATACTTAACATGTTCAAACAGGAATTAATGGGATACTTATGAAGGCAGAGAGATGCAGCAATCTAACAAACATGTGTCTAATTGAGTGGGAGAATACACATACTGGATTTGAGTTTTTCATCAAGCGCCCAATCAAGAGCCTTTTGTGCATCTTCAGTCAAAGGAGGATGCTCGGGACTAAAAAACCACATGTCAGCTTTTCCAAGTATTTTGACAGTTTCTTCACGTACTTTAAAGAGAGTAATGCTGTTCGTCCTCAAATATTTTGAAGCAAAATTTGTCCCTGCAATTGCCGGAAGGAAATAACCATTCTAACATGATTTACTTCAAGGAGCAGAATGAACATTCATGGAAGCGACTTCACCAAAATGATTAAAGCAGCTTAAATCAAAGTCGAAGTCTAAGCAAATTACTGAAAGGCCCCTTCTATCAATTAAATATCTTCTTATTTTATCTCTGAAACTGATATAAATATACGCAGTCATAATCTCTAAAAGTGCTTCTGTATGTATCTGAATTATGCTCAGTGTGCTTAATATACACAAGCTAAAATCCACGAAGTGACATTTCCCATCAACTTATAACTGCTATATCTGACTTCGACAAGCCGCATTATTAAAGACATAACCTAAAATGCAGAGAATTACTTCTCCAATAAGCTCGCAATCTTGTCTTCTATAGTTTCATGTGTGGACCAAAAAAAAAAAAATTTGGTTCCTCTGGAGAGCAACTAATATCAGAAGCCATAGCACTTACATATTTAACTTCCGAATCACTGAATTCTTTTCACATATTAAAAACTTTGTATATATCGCAATGTTGTAGCAAATGTAATGTTCATTAAATGTACTAAAATGTAAAATGGCTTTGGTAACTACATAATGTTGGGTAAGTTCTGTAAGTGTCAGATTTCAGAAGAGTAATCTCATTCAAATCTCAGTCACTCAATGAATATAAAAAAGGATTAGATGGCACAACTGCACTGGAGTTCCTAAAGTAAAAATATGCTCTAAATATGCGAAACCTAATGCAGCTCTTCTCATTAATATCTCTAGCACAAAATCCATCGTTATAAGATATTGACATTCTTACATGTAACAGTAAGCGCACCACGAAATTATCTTCTTGTCTATTGTTTATTCAAGTGTTAGTTTGATTAATTAGCATCACGAGTACCAAAAAGCAAGAGCTTCCATTCCATTGGCACGATCAAATAGAGTATGTCAACCAAAATAAAATATTTTCTTAGTAAAGAGAAAAAATAACAAACCTTCAATCAAAATCCCCATGAGAAGAGCTTCTGTTCCAGTAGTGGAATATTTAAGTTTTCTTGCTTCCAATTCACCCATGGCAAAAGATTTTATCGCCTTTGACGACCATCTAAAATTTCACTCACCAATTCAAGATACCTCAAAACACATTCAAATACCAACAGATAAACAAAGACAAGATAAACAATAATACAAATCAAACAACCAAAAATCTCCTCCTCCTTTTCTGGGGGCAGCCAAAGAAATAAAACAAGAAAGAAAAAGGAAAATACTCACTTAGGAATTTTCTCTATAGATACTGCCGCCTCTGACTTTCTGCAATAACATAATGAAGAAAAGGTGTTATCTTTATAGCTTGCTGATTCAGATTTGATTTATAGAAAAAATTATACAACAATCAATCAATAATCTACACCTGAATCCTAAATGAGTTGGGTCAATTACATGAATCCTATATATAGCCACTTTCTTCGAGCCTATCACGTTTCAATACAAAACACTCCCTCCGCCACCTGTAAGCAAGGTTCGTAAGAAAATTACTCTGTGTAGTTAGGTAAAATTATTCTTTTATCTATACAATAATATATGTTGAATTCCCTTGATTTCTTCATGTGTTCAATTATTTATATTTTGATACCCATTAATAAAAATTCTAGCTCCGCCACTGCACTCCTCCCAAAAAGAATGATACATTTTTATATTTAGAAGAAAAAATATTAAGGCCCCGTTTGGCCATACATTTTGGCACCATTTTTTCAAATCTTTTTTGAAAACATTGTTTGTTCATAGATTAATGATCTATTTTTGAAAATTTTCTGAAATTATTTTTCAAGTTTCCAAAATCTAGTTTAGGGTAGATTTTGGGTGAAACTTGTTCTCCCACTCACAAAACTTCAAATTTTTTTCAAATAAAATGCATGTCCAAACATAATTTCAACTTCCAAAAATTATTTTTCAAAACTACTTCAAAAATTATTTTTTCAAGTTTCAACTAAATCTATGTCCAAACGCTAGCTAACTTTAAACTTCTTATTTTAACCTTAATGAGATGATTTATAGCTACACAAATATATATTACTTGTTTTAGACCACAAGTTTCAAATTTCCTTCTTTCTTTCTTAAACTGCATGCTCAGTCAAAGTGGATCACATAAAATAGGACAGAGGGGGTAGGTAATTAGAGATTCTCCAAATCTCACACTAATCCATTAACAAATAATTACTTTAACTAAACAAGCTGTTAGTATAGTCCTGAGTCCTAAAACCCAAAAAAATGAATGCAAGAATAAGTAAAGGGTAGGTGTGAGAATTTACCCATAAGGAAGGCTAAAGGAGACAGCGGCTTTAATGGCGCAATGTGTTGTAAGAAATGGTTTGAAATTGTTGGACTGAAGTGAGATTTTGATTGGAGTACCAAGCCATTGACTATGCAAATTTTGTGCGTTTGTTGTACAGAGAGATGAACTGGCTCCTACTCTGTAATTGAGCAGGTTGATGCCCTTTGAGGTGGCTGCCACAGTGGAGAGAGCAGCCATTTTTGCGGCAAGATTCTGCTCCAATTTGAGAAAATGGGTTGAATAGTTGGTCCTTTCTGGTTGGGATGATGAGATGATAAGAAACGACGGCGTTTGCATAACCTTGGGCTTCGTGTTTCTATGGGCTTAAGGAGTCTGGCCCATTATACTATTGGGCTGCATACCACGCAGAGTCCGGAAGACCCGACCGAGTTGTATGCCCACGATCCACATATGAGAAGATCACTCATTCAAACGTCACACATCCGTCATTAAATAAAATTTTAGTAATTGAAGTTACAGAAAATCAGAACCAGAAAAGGAAAAGGTTGAATCTAAAAAAGTAGTAGTCTTTAAGAGTAGTGTCATTAAGTGAAACTCATTCTGTATTATACAAGAAAAGAATTTCATTGTGTGTGTGCTTCAATAAAAGTAAAGGAAGACATTTTAGATTTAAAACAGTTTCGTCCGTCTTTTGTTCTTTGGCTGTAGACTAAAGAGTCATTTGGTACGATGCATTAGAGAAAATAATACCATGCATTAACTTTTGATATTACTAATCCCTTATTTTGGTACACTTTTTCAACCTATGTATTACTAATGCACGTATTAATTATAAAACCTATTTGGTATTAACCTATGTATAACTAATACATAGCAAACCATGACATTAGCAATACCAAAGATATTAATACATGCATTAACATGATTAAAGACAAAATTGTCCTTAAAATCCTTTAAAGCTGAAGGGCATTCGTGTAAACAACTAATTATCTTAAAAATTATACAATGTATTTTAATTTTTAATATACCACACCAAAAAATGAATAAGAAATAATCACTGCCCGCATAACTAATGCTTGCATTACTAATCCCTGCATTACGAATACACCTTATTTGGCATTATTCTTATACACCCTACCAAACGACCCCTAAGCAGTACACCAAAATTTTCTTCATTATCTACAGAAAATAGCAATGTTAAATCAAGCATATGTTTGTCACTCCCAAGCATTCACTCTTACAAGTACTCTGCCCTATTCAGTTCTACCCATAGTCGGGTTATTCAATTCTGTACAATGATGGTCAACAATACGATACAAAGACTTGACCAAGTGATTGCTCCTTGCGTATCAGTAAGGTCAGTTTCCTGGCTTTTGACTTCCTTGCATTGGCGCGCAAACTGTGCAGCTATGGCACCAAAGTGCACAAAGAATTGTCGATTGATCTCCACTATGAGGTGGCGTGCAGAAACAACCCTATAGAGCGATTAAGATTCTCGACGGATGCAAATACCTTGTTTGTCAGCAGTAAAGAATCTCCAAAATTCCATTCCCTTTCCTTTCTCCACCTGTCGAGACACAAAGAAAACAGAAGCTCATTGTAGCAATAAATCCTCATCTCTCTGTAGTTGCTTGAGCCGCCTTTTTGCATATACAGTGATCAAAACCGTCGTAGCAACAGTGAAACTAAATCCAAGAACATTAAGAATGATCTGTGGGGCTGAGAGAAAACGTTGCTCTTGTGAAGCATTTGCCAGAGTCTTTATCAGGATGCCACTGCACAGAAGGATGGTAACCATAAGTTGAAAGAAAAGGTATTCAGCAAATGGAACTTTCATCCACTGAATAAGAGATTACATATCGTAGTGGAGCAACATACACAAAATAAATCCTTCCAGAATTAGTAAAAGCCTATTTTGTTTTCAGTTGGCACTCTCCCCTGAAAAGTCAACCAAAAAGCTCAAAAACCATGAAACCTTCCCATCCCACACCCCCCCCCCCCCTCCCCATCTTCTCCAGCCAATACCCCCCCCCCCCCCCCCCCAAAAGACACACAAAAAAAAAACAAAGAGGAAAGGAACCAAACACCAAAGAATCACAGACAAAAAGAGTACTAAAACATGAAAGGCAATAAAAATAAAGCAATTAGAAGTACGAAAATACACAAATCTAGCAAAGAAATCCTGGAGAAGACACAAAATCATTTGCTTTTTTTTCCCCTCTAAAAACGTGTATTTACGGGCTAAATTACCTTTAAAGAATTTTAACTAGTACAGGCAGAACTTCCTATCACGTATTCTTCTATAGAATAGGTCAGCCAAACGATTCCCAGTCACAAGCTACTGCTTTTGTTTTCCCACTTTATGTAACTCGCTCCAATTTAACAGTCATAAGAAGAACCATTGCTGTCAATGTGAGTCCTTATAATTAAATATGTCCTGAAGTATTTAATTATACTTAGAAACTTTAGTTTCAGCCACGAAGAGAAAAAATCTGATTTTCTTTACTATCAAATTGCAATTCACTTCCATAATAACTTTCCCTGTAAGATAATTTAATGATTTATGCCTGCCTCTGCCTGAGCATGAACTTTCCTTTTTCATGTTTAATCTGTAAAAGCTCAAAAGTTCTCCAAAATAGGTTGATTCTGCCTCAGAGAAATACAACGAAAATTGCAAATTACTTTTTTTGAAACAGAAAACGAAAAATGCTAGATTATTCACAGCCCTCTCTATGATATTGCATGCATAGAGTGACAGTCTACGAAGGTGTCCCCCCCCCCCCCCCACCCACACACACAAATAAAGGGAGAAAAAACAGAGAACTATTGCAAGACTAAAAGCTTAAATTCAATTTTCAAAAAAAAAAAACAAAAAGATAGATGAAAAGGTTGAGCATAGTACAACATACAGTCACCCCTAGTGCCGATACAAAATAGAACAAGGAAGCAGGGCATTGGTGCGGTATGTCTAAGACCCAATAATAGCAAGAAACAGTTTTGTCCTCACTATTGAAAATGAGGGGAATTTTCAAAATCCTGCAATGATCTTCACTTGTAGAGAGCATACTACGTGTCGAAGTTCATAATTATAGGCAGCTATAAGCATGGCAACAACAATGACAAAGGAAGGCGGTCCAAACAACTTTCCCACCATCATGGAACAAAGCTATGCAGACACATCGAACATGGTAGGAAAAGATTACATGTCTAACACTTAAAATTGCTACTTCAGAAAAGGTCAAAAATTAACCAGTTTGATTATAACATAACTTGTAGAGAAAAATTAACATTTCTATCCACATGCATATAATCTCTTTCCACACCATGAACATATCCCAACTAAAGAAACCAATACAGGTATACAAGACTTGAAACAGATATTGGTGCAACCTCACTGAGCACCACATTTGCATTGTCAGAACTTACCTACATCTAAATGTGAAGTGTATAACCTTCACATTGAGTCGGTCATCAGTCATAGAACAAGAAAACTGAGGCAAGTCAGCATTCGTCTTTTCATGGATATTAGCATTCAGTAGAGTATCTAAATGTTCACACATATGATTCAACGAGAAAGGTTGCTTCTATTCTATATAAATAGAGGTGTGGGGTGAGGAAGGGATGGAGACATGGAGGAAGGTAAGGGAGGACAAGGCCCAAACCTAACAGGCATTTCAATTAAATCAGACAAATGCTGTCACAACGATACATCCACCGAGCAACTCTGAAGAACAAGAAAAGAAAGAGAATGCTTACGTGTAAATTGTAACAAATATTTCTGGGACCATGCCAATGAGTGTACCCAGCAAATAAGGACCATAGTTGACCCCAGTTGCCATTGCACAGTAATTATAGACCATATATGGAAAAGGGGAAATCCTGATCAATGCAACAGCTCGAGCCTGGTTAAACCAATTCCCTTCACCAGCTAATCTTATAATAGAAGCATTCTTGGGATATCTTTCTATCCAGCTCTACAGGAGAAAAAAGAAAGAAATTATGAAATTTATTTTAAGTAAACAAAGCAAAGCGACGAAGTGCAATCAGTCCCCGAAAGTAATGAAGTACATACTTGGATTCTGTGATGGAAAAGATGACCTATGAAATAAGGAAGAGATACACCAATAGGAAGAGCTCCGATGATAAGTAGAAAACCATATCCATATCCGAATGTCATTCCAGCTACCCACATGGAGGGAGTGGAAGGTAATAGGAGGGTTGGGAAAATTGCCACAGAAGCATAAACTAGAACTGCAAGTACTGGAGTACTGAATGTTCTTGTCTCCCAATCTAGTATGGGAATAATCTCCTGAAATAGGAAAAACAATAGTCAGAAATTGATATGATCCAGAAATCATAAAACCGTGCTGATCTGCATTATAATAAGTGTCACAAAATCAGAGTCAGCAGAGGAAAATACCGAAATAGCATGATGAATGGAGTTAACAATCGATCCGCCAATGAACTATGCCTGGTACTCTATACACATTACGCCCTATTCAGGTCCATTTCGTTCCAATATAAATGAACGGAATTAACTGTATGACTTTGAAAAATAACCTCAGTAAATCTTATCTCGAACTCTTCATCTAATTTAGTTAGCAGCACTGAACTCATCACCTAGAGCTATACAACAATTCTTCCACCTAAAGTACTAACTATGGTAAGTACTCTAAATCCAGCTCACTTACAAAACAGCCCATACATGAGGTCAGTTTAAGTAGCTCACACTTCCTCCATAAGCAGTTTAGTTAGAATCATGAGCCATTAACAGAATACTAGATTATTTGGCTACAAAAGACCACACATTTTACCAGCAACAATCTCTATTTTTTTCTGAAGCTTCAATAAATTCACTTAACGGATAACGGTGGTGTACAGGCCAGCTTGGCCACCTCGACTACTCCACCGAGTACCTGCTATTTTCCACCAGCGCAGATACCGGATAACTCTGCCTACCAAGACCAAGGCAGATACAAAGAAATTAACTAATGTTTTTTGCCTTCGCTAGAATTTGAACCTGAGATCTCATGATTCTCCTCTCACTCCATTGACCACTAGGCCACACCCTTGTGTGCAAATTCACTTAAATCAGCTTATGAATCATTTTATCCTCTCCCTTAAAGTAATACTCCATATAGCATGAATCAATGCACTTAAAGCAAGCAAAAATGCTACTAAAACAAAATGATCACCCTCAAATATTCACCAGCAGCTATAAAGAGTATGACTTTCTCACATGCAACAAACAATACAAAAGCATACATAATTCAATTAGACAAATATT